CTGGAAGTAGTATTCATCTTGATAACATAAAAAGGTTTAGGTCTGCTCTGAATTCCAGCTGAATCACATTATGCTCAAAGAAAGATGCTGAAGGTGGTTTGGAATTAGCAACTCTCTGGGTAGTGGGAGGCGTGTGCATTCTGTTGGGAGGACAGGATTGGTCAGAGAGAAAGTCTTAGGTGTGTCAATTACATAAAGTGAGGAATGACACCAAATTAAGAGAAGTGATGTGTGTTATGTTAGTGAATTTAGAAAGAGGTCCCTGCTTCTAATTTCTGTGCAGTAAGGCAAAATGGGGAGGGGCCCAAAACAGGCATGTGAAATCCTTTCATCATTTTCTCTTGATCTCAAGAAACACTAGAGTTTGATTATGTTTGTTTAAATTGAGCAGAGTCTAAGTGAGATGCCAGTGCTTCATGCATCTCCCCACCTGAAGGACCCCCCCACCTTTTGACAAGGGTGTCATCATGAGGACACAAGTGTGTGTAAAACTGGCAGCAAACCCGTCAGACAGCACCCACCTGGCCAGCTCCACCCTGTCCCAGGAACCACCACTATTCTCATTACGTGTATGTTACAGCCTTTGAAGTGGTCCCACAACTACAAAATATAAAATATGCTATTGTCAATACAAAATATTGGAAAGAAAGCTGGATATGTTGTTCCACTTTTTTCCCACTCTTTTTAAACTTTGCCATTTCAGTTTTAGAAGTTTCTGTTGACACACCCTCAAGCTAGATATTTGTTCCTCAGCTGTGTTCAGGCTACCAGGCTTCTTCATTTACAGAGATTTTTTTTTCCAGCATTGTTTTAAGTTCTTTCTTAGAATATCCATCCCTCTGCTTACATCACCCATGTTTTCCTGTATGGTGTCCACTTTTTCCTTCATAACTGGTAACCAGAGTTGCTTTAAATTTTCAGTCTGATTATTTCAACATCTCTGCCATATCTGTGTCTGGTTCTGATCCTTGCTCTGTCTTTCAACCCGTTTTTTTTTGTTTTGTTTTGTTTTGTTTTGTTTTGCCATAGCTGTCTTGTATTTTTTCTTTCTTTTTTTTTTTTTTTAAAGCCAGACATGATGTACTGGGTGAAAGGAACTTGGGTGAGCAGGCCTTCAATGATATAGTGGTGAATGTGGGGAGGGAGGGGTTCTGTGGTCCTGAATGAGGTCTGTTCCCTGGGCTGTGAATGTCACAACTGCCTCTTAGTATTTTCTCCTCCTTAGGTGGGATATGATGGCTAGAGGGGGCTGGAGTTGAACATTTTCCCTTCCCTAGGCCAGTTAAGCTTCCATCAAACCCCAGCTGATTCGGCTGTGGTAAAACAATCTTCATGAAGACAGGTCTTGCCAGGAAGAATTGAATTCATTGCCTTCTTTCTAAGTGGTTCCTCCCCATACCCCACAAGAAAGATGAGAGGACTTTTATTGAACATTCACTGTGAAAACCTGGTATAGTTCCAGGGAGTAAGAGCCGTAAAAATGTCCTCCTAATCCCATACCTAATCCATCTGCTGGAGTGGTTAACACTGCCTTGTCCACATTGAGCTTTCAGCAATTCATCAGTTACAGTTCAGGGTTTTTTACTGTGTCTGGATAAGGTCAGCTGGTGGCTAGGATACAAAAGACACCCCACTGAGTTTCTGGGCCTGGGTTTCTGTTCAGATAAGACGTGCTGCTCTGTATTTACCTGTGGGTCTCTCCAGTATATGGGGCCGTTGGCGCTGAGACCTTGCTTCTCTGAGCGGTCTAACAGAGTTTTTGATTTTTAAGTTTGTTCATCTTTGTACTTGTTACAACTGAGTGACAACCACAGCAGGATGAGGTTGGAGTGAAACGGGTGAAATAAGCCCATGGGCATTGGGGACTGTAGACGTGTCCTTCTTCCTCTGATCCCCTGGTGAGTCAGTGGAGAGAGTGAAATCACCTTTGCAAAGGTTACAGCAGTGAGATAAAGTTAGCATGGCAGACTTCATCTTACCTCTAGCTGGAGGCTGGCTGTCCTCGCTCATTCCTGGGCATAGGCCAGGCTAACCATGGGGGAAATTTAGTTTATAGTGTAACTTTGAAGTAAGAATGATAATATCCCCTTACTAAAATAAACTCCCTCTTTGTCAAGGATGGCCTTTGTAAAAGTAATAAAAGACCATAACATTAGGTTATGCGAGGGACCGAAATCCTACTGAAATATAGTCATAGTTTCTATAATCCATTATTGCTCAGGAGTCATGTGGCCTGCAGTCACAAGACTAGTGATTTCTTTAATTGCTCCTATAGATAACATCACTATCATAGATTATGAGATTGGTCTTTTGAGGTATTTCTCAGACTTGCATTCTGGCAACCAGCTGGCCTCATCCAGACCCATGAGTAATGCCTCATCCAGTCATGTGGCCTCCACTCAGAGGCAGATCAAACACATAGAGACGATTTCCCCCACCTGCATGATTTCATTCCCATCCGATCACCAGTACCCATTCCTTAGACCTCAAACTTTTTGAAAAACTCCAACCCTAGGCATCAGGGAGGTCAATTTGAATAATAATAAATGAAACTCCGATTTGGCAGCTTTGGACTAATTAAAATCTTTCTTTACTACAAATCACCCTCTTCATAAATTACTTTTGCCTGTGCAGGGGGCAAGATGAACCTTTTTTTTTTTTTGGTCTTCTTGTCAGGTGATTATAAGAGTGGATGGGGCCAGGCGCGGTGGCTCAAGCCTGTAATCCCAGCACTTTAGGAGGCTGAGATGGGCGGATCACGAGGTCAGGAGATCGAGACCATACTGGCTAACACGGTGAAACCCCGTCTCTACTAAAAAATACAAAAAACTAGCCGGGCGAGGTGGTGGGCACCTGTAGTCCCAGCTACTTGGGAGGCTGAGGCAGGAGAATGGCGTAAACCCAGGAGGCGGAGCTTGCAGTGAGCTGAGATCTGGCCACTGCACTCTAGCCTGGGCGACAGAGTGAGACTCCGTCTCAAAAAAAAAAAAAGAGTGGATGGAAGAGCCACTCATTTCTTTCTGGTGGCCTGTTCCGTAAGTCAGCCTCTCAGAAGGAAAGAGCCCTGGAATAGGACACAGTGGAAGCTCATTCTCCTGGTGACCTGAAGACATTGGCTCATAATGGAGCCTGGCAGAAGGGGCAACTCTGGCTAATTTCAGTGTTTGTTTGTTTTATTTGTTTGTTTGTTTTGGGGTCAGCCCACAGTGTGAGCAGAAAAGCAGCAGAACAGTCAGCTTTTGTCTGGGGAAGTCCAAGGCATGGAGAAAGCTGTGCTGGACAGGGCATGCCAGCTAGAATGAAGGTAGGGCAGGGGCAGAAGATGAGGGACACAGAGGAGCAGAGGGAGCCAGAGACACCCATGGCAGTGAGCAGTGGGGGCTACAGTGACCTCAGAGACTCCAGGGACCAGGGGCCCTCAGGGTCACAGTTCAGTACCATGGATCCCTGAAAACCCTCCCATGGCCTAGGAACCCCGGAGTCACATGAGACGGGGTAGCTTGAGGGACAGGGAGTGAGAGGGAAGGAACATGGGTCTCAGCACCCAAGTGACAGGGAAGAGGTGTGGCCAGAAACTTCTAGGATTCTGCATCCAGGATCCAGTCTCTAAAGAGGTTATGAATCATTCATTCCTTTATTCAATCACTCCTTCCCTCATGTGAGAACTACAGAGTGTGTGTCTCACACTGGGCCTGTGTTAGTGCAGAGTGTGAGTGGGGAGAGAAAGCCAAGTCCTCTCCTTTATTCTTTCATGGGAATGATACTGACTCTGGAAAACACAGGATTTCAGGTTCAGTGAGGGGGATTAGGATCTGAGGGAAAGGTCTGGATGTTCCTCATACTGGCTCTGAAGGTTGGGACAGGTGATTTCATTCTGAACAAACTAAATAGTTGTCCATTTGCTGTCACTCCTCTGAGGTTTGGATGCCAAAGAAGAAAGGATTTGAGCCGACAGATGACCATAGGGTCCTTAGAACTTAATAGGACCTCACTTCTCATGGAGGAGAGGATGGAGATGTGATTGCAGAAAGACCTCGTGTGACTCTGATCTGCCCCTCATGTTTGTGTGACCCTGGTTCAGTGACTGTGTCTCCCTGTGGCTCAGTTTCCTCTCAGTCATAGAAGCTAAATGGCAAATGGTCTGTGGCTTGTCATGTTGACTCTGAATGAACTTTAAATTATTTACAGTCACCTGACCTAATGCTTGGCATAGGTCACATAAACAGTGTTTATTATTCGCCTCCATGAGAGAGCACCCTTAGACCTGATCCCTGTGGACAAGTTGCTGCCAGGAACATCTTGTCTCTTCTATTTCTGTCCCTGGGGACACTGAACTTTCCATGGGGTCTCCTAAGCCTCCCAGGGCAGTTGGCTGATGGCCTAAGATGCTTGTCCATCTGTTCACTCTGAGTCTCAGGTGAAAGAGAAGGCTCTATCTTTGACCAGGTGAGGCTCTTGGGGCTGAACCCTGCCTGGCAGCAGCTCCAGGAGCCACATCTATCATATGGCTGGTCAATACTTCCTCCCAGTCAGTCCTGCCCAGGAGGCCACAACCCAGCCCTGGCACAGGTTTTCCAGGGTCACCTGGATTTAGGATCTGAGGACAGGGTTCTGGGGCCAGGGCTTCTAGGACTGAGCTTCTCTGTAAGGATCCCAGGGGGCCCCTCGAGCCAGGCCCTGATGTAGTTCTCTAGAGTCTTTTTCAGGGTCATGTTCAGGGGAAGTGCACAGGGTGATGGGCGGAGACTAATGTCCTCCTGCTGAGTTTCCCCCATCAGATTGTCCTGTCTCTGCAGCAAGTGTCTGCAGGGTATGGATGCAGGAAATGAATTCTGATCCATTGAAATTCGTCTACCCTGTGTGTGTCCCACACCGAATGCCCAAACACTAAAATGGGAAATAATGCAGAGGGGAACACAGGCACAGCCCAGGCCTAACAATCCTGTGTGTGTGAAGTAGAACTGACCCCCAACACCCAGAGGTCATGAGGAATCACTCACGGTGCACGCGGTGCATTGCTTCTTCAATGGTAAAATCTGTCTTTATGATTTGTAGGGTATAGAATCCTGTGTCATCGCGGGTGACTTTCTGGGTCAGCAGGGATGCATTGGCAAATATTACCTCCCGACTACTGTATGCAGGTCCTGAGCTAGATCTTTGAATGCCTATTGCATATCCTAAAATTCAATAGTCGAGATCCGCACTTCTTCCTTTGTACCAGTTGTAGCCCATCACTTTCAGGGGCAGATTGTGGGCAAGTAGGAAAATCTCCTCCTCCTCTGTGGCATTGAATGGCATGGCTTCTACAGTGACTCTGGCAATGATGGGTGGGTTCCAGAAGGTTAAAAGTGAGGCTAGGATGGGGAGAGAGCATCAGTCAATATTAAAACCTATGTATTGGGGTGGAAAGTTGGGGCCCTTTGTCCTTAGAGGTTCTCTTCACCCATGAGCCTTGGAAAGAGAGAGAATGTGTGTGTGTGTGTGTGTATGTGTGTGTGTGTGTGTGTGTGTGTGTCCCCTACTGGGTCAAGGTCAACAGCATGACCCCCATTCCTTCAACACCTCTGAACTTGGCATTTCCCTGTGTGGAATCCTCTTCCCCAGGGGTCTGCATGGTTCCTTTTCCACTGACCTCAGATCCGGCTCACATCAGGGTGTCCTTGAAACATCCCTTTCTTGATACCTTCACTAGAGACTCTCGGTCTTCCCTTTCTCACTTTTCCCTGCCCAGTTTTCTCCAAGGCTCTTGTCAACACCTGACCTCACATTCCAGATCTCCTTGCATGTCTTGCTCCCCTCCCTATAACGGCATCAGGTTCATGAGGGCAGGGATTTGTATGATCTTGGTTGTACCCCAGTGCCTGGGACATGCTGCGAACTCTTGTGAATGAGTTTGTGAGCATTCCCAGAGCCCTCCAAGGCCTGTGATTTATTTTCCAGTCTCTGAATTTGGCTGATGACAATGTTTTATGCCCTATTATATTTTTATTTGAAGTATTATCTGATATAGTTATTATTATCATTTTTCAAAATGTAGTGGCCAGTGATGATTAACCTGGAATAGAGAACACTTAAGATTTGTTTGCTTCTTACCAATTTCAGTTCAATGTGATTTTCCTGTTTTGATCCTGTCCCCTCTGTTGTCTTCTTTCCTGTTAAGGCAGCAGTAGAAGCTCTAAGTCCCCTTTCCCCAGGAGCCCCATCTTCCCCAGGAGACCCCAGCCAGTCCCTGAACCTTCTCGTTTCCTCTTCAAGGAAGTTCTCTCCTGACCTGTGAACAGGAGCTTCTGCCAGGGGATGTGCCATCTGGAGAAAGGGACTGAAGGGGGCACCATGGTCTGTGCTGCCTGCTTGTCCTCCTCTGTGGAGATAAGTCTGGGATCCAGAAACTTTCTGAGCACGGCTGTCAGCTGTGCTGTCCTTCCTCCTTCTGTGCTGAGCCTCTTCCCGGGGCAGGAGCACTTCTCAGGCTCATGGGTTGGGTCTGTGCCCAGGACACCTCTCTGTCCCCTCCCCTCTCAGTCCTGCTTCCTTGTCCCTCCTTTCTGTTTCTCTTCTGTCTGTGTTTCAGGCCCCTGGGAATTGCTGAGTCCTCTGTCTCCTTCAGCAGTGATTCTCTCACCCAACCTCTACACACACTATGTGCAGACACACACACACACACACACACACACACAAAGACATCCTTTAGGTTTGGCGAGCACAGCCCTGGGCCCTCAGTGTCCTCCCATTTCCATTGCTCCAGGTCAGGGTGCACAGTCGCTCCCCCTGCCCTCTCCCATTCCCATCTGGCTTTTCCCTTCAGAGCAGGAGGCTGGGCTGCACCAGGACCCTGTCACAGTGATGCACCCTCACCTTGCTTTGAGTGAGCTGCGTGCTAGCTGGAGAGAAGGACCCTCCCTCTCTTTCATTATGTTGAGCTTTGCTACAGCTTCCATGGTTAGACATTTGATGACCCAGTTGTCCAAGAGGGTATCTTCCTTCCTGGAGGTGTACAGGATCAATCTCTTATGTCTCCTGGTATGAAAGGCCTGTGCTGATTGGTCAGTGGGGCCTGTGGGCCCAATGGTCACCAAGGACAGGTCTCAGCCACTCTCTTGGTCCCTGGGTTCTGGTGGCTGAGCTGGGGCTGCGGCCCATCTATTTTCTTCCTGACCATTTTTGGTGTCCTCTGTCCTTGGCCCAGCTGACTGTCCTGTGGTCACCTCACCTTCCCCATGGCTGGTGCAAAAGGGAGTGGGATGATGCCCAGGGTCCCCACAGAACACAGCTCTTCAAGACCCAGGAGAGAGAGACTGGGAAAGAACAGGGGCTCAGAGCTGGAGAGATTTCTACAGACTTACTCTGCAGCCAGGATGGGCTTAGCCCTTCTCGCTATATATCCCTTGGGGTTCCTCTTGAGGGACTGAAGCAGGTCAAGCTCCTCTGTGTAGAAGAAGAACAGGCAGTGGCTGGAGAGCCTGTGTGAAGGGACTCTGCTCATACCTGAGAGGGTGTGTGGGGGTGGGCTATGTTCTGAGAGCAAAGGGAGCTCATATCCCCCACCTCACCTTCCCCATGCACAAAGGACAGCCCTGTCTTCCTTCCTGACTTCATGAGAGACAGCAGGGGGCAGATTGTGGGTGGGTAGATAAACCTCCAGCAGGTGGCCACGTCATGGATGGTGCCTGTGCATGACCTGCAAACATGCTCTGCACCTCCTGGGATGTAGTGGGCAGGCCACAGGAGGCCTGGCTGATTCCTAGGGATGCTGTGGGCACTCAGGCAGTCGCTGTTCTGTGTCAGCACTGGGATCAGCCTGGGATGCCCCAGAGAACCGTACAGAGGGAGTGGGGTGGGAATGTAGGGAGCAGTCACAGAAAAAGTTGATGAGGATGGAAAGAGGTCACAAGGGTAAAGTGTCTAATATGGCATCACATGGACCATTGCTGCCATTGGAGATGCCCTTTTGGCTGGGTCAGCAGCCCCTGGGGAGCCTTGAGGCTGGGATTCTGCCACACTCTGGTGAACATGGAGGGGAATTTGGATGACAGCAACCCCAGGTCAGGCTGCATGTTTTATTCCATGTAAATCTCCACATTTCACAGTAGATTATTCACATATGTCACAGATCCATCACATTCCAGCCCCGTGAGCTTCAGTCTCTGTGACTGTAAGTTCACTGTCCTCCCTCTTTCTCAATCAGATGTCCCAAACACAGATTTCTGTCACCTGCGAGTTTGTGTTCATGTGCAGTGGGCTGCAGTGTGTATGCCCTGGGGCAGTGATGTCTGGGGCTGAGCACTGGGCAGAGGTTTGGAAGCAGAAGAAGGAGGTGCAGGATGGGAAGATCAATTACAGGGGAGCAGAGAGGGAGCAGGGATAAGTCATCTTTGTTTCTCACTCCCAGGGGACCAGAATGCAGGACCCTGACCCTAGGGCTCAACACCACACGCTGTTGGTGTCCCTGGATGTCACCCGTGCTCATAATTTCATGTTGCCTTGGCATTCATTTATTAAGGTGTAAGTTTACCTGCCTCGTATCAGAGGCAGGGCTTAGTCACCGTGACAGGTGACAATACTGTACCTTGCCAAATGTCTGCAGTTGGTGGCCAGAGATAAAACCTTAGAGGCATCTCTCCTGCTTAGTGTGCTGGGCTCCCCTCTCCCCAGCTGCTTCCTTTAAACTGGTGGTTATGAAATTTGCTCTGAAATTTAAAGTGACCACCTCTCAGTCACAGTGTGGTCACCTGGCCCCAGTGTTTGCTTGCTTTAAACTCACCATTAAAGCTGTCTGCTAGAAACCTCAGATAACACCTTGGACCCACTAAAGCCATTGGCCTACAGGTCCCTGCTTTCCTCTCTGCCTGGACTCCTTGACCTCTGTGTCTATTATCTCTAGGTATGCCATGTGCTCCTCACATCTGTAAATAGCAAAAACATTTGTACTTTCACATTGTGGTTGTATCACTGTAGCCTCACCTGCCATCTGGTGCCTGACACTGAGGCTGCCCCATGGGACTCATGCTGGTTGAGCCCCTGCTGGAGCTCTTTTCTTGGGGTCTCGTGCTGCTGGAGACAGGTGCCGTCAGATAATTTGATGGAGAAATAGAAGAGTTGTATTCAAAACAGTGTGTGAGATGATGCTTTCCTGGGCTTCAACTGCTATAACAAACACCTTAGTCTAGGTGACTTAAAATACAGAAATCTATTTCTCACAGTTCTGGAGCCTGGAAAGTCCAAGTTCAAGGTTCCAGCTGATTCAGTCCTGGTGAGGGCTTCCTTGCAGATTCCTGCTCTCTTGCTGTATCTGCACATGATAGGGCTTGAAGGTGAGTGGAGAGACAGAAAGAGGGAGAGAGAGACCCTTCTCCTGTGTTTTCTTCTATTTATAAGGTCATTAATTTTATCATGAAGCCTCCACTTTTATGACTTAGTCTTACTCTAATTATCTCTGAAATGCCACCTCCAAATTTCAGCACATTAAAGATGAGGGCTTCAATAATTTTGAGGGGGCACATTCTGTCCAGGGCAGGAAAGGTGGGAGCTGCTTCCCCTCCTGTTCCTGAGGCCTGACCTTCCCTGGTGAGATGACTTCACACTCAGTCTCATTCTAGGTTGCAGCCCCACAGAGGCTGGGTTCTCCTCTGCTCTTCTGCCCATTCTTGGGTTTTCCTTCTTGCACCACCTTCTCCCTGTGGACCCACCTGCTCCTGTTCCAGGCAGCTGTCCCTAGCTTGCTGCTCTCTCACCATCTCTGGCCTCATTGGCCTCTGCCACTTTTTTTCTGAGCCCTGAGGCCTGCTCTATGGGAGGAAGGATGGGTGAAGCTGGAATGGGTCCTGTCCAGGTTACTGTCCTTTATGGAAGCTTGACAATGAGGGACACTGTTGTGTCACCATGGAGGAGGCCTTAGGAAAAGGCTATTTCTCAGGGGTGCCCGGATTTCAAGGGGGGTGGCACTTTTAGCTTAGCTGGACCTGTGAACTACAGGGACCCTGCTCCGTGTCAGCAACCAGCATCTCCAACTTTTGGGTTCTCTCTGTAGCTGATTCTCTTGCCTGATTCCTTAGCCTGTGGTAGGATCCTCCTCACAATGACTGATGGTCACAGCTGCTATATGTGGAGACCTAATGGAGGGTCTCGAATACTCACACAGTGTGTCCAGGGAAGAGGCTTCCTGGTGTTGAGAATGGGTGCTCGGTGTCGTAAAGATCAACACTGAGACAAAGGATCTCTCAGCAAGGCTAGTTTACTTTCTGCAGAAAGGGTGCTGCTCACTAGCAGTCATGCCATGAGAGCACACATGAACAAAGGAGACAGGGTCATTTATAACCTGACGCGTCCACCCTACTGCTGTGTCTGGCTTCCATTGGCTGGAATGGGACCTCATAATTTGTACTTGACTCAATTGGCTAGCAACTTATAACTTTCCCAAAGAGGCAAAGGCAGAAGAGAACAAAGGCACAGAGGAACTAACTTGTGGAATGCTGAGAGAGGCAAAAACATTTTCAAATAGGAAAAGGAATAGGCCATGACCTAATGCTTGTTTGGACTGGTTCAGGCATGTCAGGGCAAATATCTAGGCTAAAATGTGGGAGCTAAGAACACGGAGTATATTGATTTCTTTATTATGACTGGCAAAATTTAAGAATATTAGCACAGATCTTTGAGAAAATGTTGCTTTTAAGAGACGTTACTATTTATTTTCAATTAGACTGGGAGGAAAATCCCTTTGAAGAGGACCTCTATTTATTCCGTTCTCTACAATTCCCCCCCTTATATTTTATAATTCCTCTTCAAACTTGTTTAATATGTTCTATCTTAATTGCTCTGTTTGTCCTTTTAAGAGAAGTAAGTTTTTTTAATATGGTGGAGAGTTAGGAAACAATTTTGTGAGAGTAGCAGGGACAAGTTTTTGTATAAAGCTTTGAAGACATTTTTATTTATAGTTACCCACCAAGACAACATAGATTTAAATCTTGCAGCTATTTGATTTCATGCTTTAAATTTATCTGGCACTTCTCATGGGACCCCAATAGCGTTTATGTAAACCTGAGGATTAAAGGATTTATAAGGAGTTTCTTTTGGCCTGCAGTGTTTTGTCTTTACTTTTTTTTAGGTTGATGAAATGCCAGGGTGAAAGGGATAGCCAATTGGATTAAAGCATAAATACTCCTCCAATTATCTGGCAGAGTGTTCAGTAAAGGTCCTTCGTGGTACTACCATACATTTGTTCAGGGGTAGCTAACAGCAGACTGATAGGCAAGCTCCTGGAAAGGCTTGAGCTTCTTGCAAACTTTTATGCTTCCAAAGAACACCAAATTCTCCACTTGCCATGAGAGGCACAAAGTAAACTTGGCATTTAGAGGTGGAAGCTAGATTGCCCTTGGGGGCTGACCCACAGGGTGTCAAACTTTAGGAAACAGCAGAGAGAGAGAGCTTGGCATGATAGATTATCCCAAGCAGTGGGATTTTGATAGGATTTAGCCTGTGGTAGAATCTTTCTCACAATGACTGATGGTCACAGCTGTGTGTGACCATATAGTCCATACCTGGTTGACAAGGAGACCACCCGAGTGGAAAGGTGACAGTCTGGGACTGTGTGCACAAGCATAACAGTCACTCTTATTTAAAGTGCGAATGGAATATTTAATCCATTCCAGCTAGGCATTTGCATTTTGATACCTTGTCTTAATGGCTAAGGTTTGTTTTAGATCCTTCATCTTTACAATAGACACCCTAATTTTATTATTAGGTGTAGGAGTAACTGGGATAGGATCTAAAACTGAGGCTACTGAAGAAGGGGAAGATAGGGGAATAATGCATATCTTAAAAATGCCTAGGGGGTGTTTCCCATTTAAGTCAATCCCCATACCATAGGAGCAACTAAGGGCAGGTTTAGAGTCAGTTAAGGTGGAGGTGGTGATAGAGAGAAGGAGAGGGTTACACTGATAAGGCTGGCAATTAGAAGGAGCAGTCCCTTTAGTGAAATAGATGAGGGGTTTTAGATCTGCACAAACCTCTTCCGTGGAAGTCCAACCTTGCTCCTGAGTAGTCCAAAGGACATAGTCCCAGCTACTACAAGGTTGCCAGGCTGTAGGAGCAGAAAATTGGTGTCTCGGCTGCAGGTGCTCACAACAGTGAGTGCTAGGAGGAACTATGTCAACTAGAGGGCTGGGGCACAAATACTTGTGTGAAAAGGTTAGCTGTCATTGATCCTTCACATCTTTACAAGGTATGACAGAGCATGTATTAAAGGCAATGGTCTGAGTTGAGTCAGACTTAGTTACATTAATAACAAAAGGAGCTAGTAACAGAATCAGGAAAGAAAAGGAAGCAATATAGAAAGGATATGGAAATTAAGCTTTTTTTTTTTTTTTTTAACTTTAACTTGGTAAGGCTTGATCCCTGTACAGTAACCCATGATTCTGATGAGGAAGATGGTTTCTTGACTTGAGTATGACATCTTCTCTTGGCTGTGTGCACGGCAGTCTTGGTGGTCAACTGTACAGGATGAGGGCCTTCCCAGGCGGGCTCAAGTTTCCCTTCTTTTTACCCTTTGATGAGAATGTGGTCCCTGGGTTAGTACTGGTGAACTAGAAATTCTAGCGGTGGTGCCTATGCTAAGAGACCTTTGATCTTAAGAGAAGAAAAGGTAAAGGAGAGACCAAGTATATAATTTCTGAGGAACTTATCCTTAGTTTCAAACATAGGAACATTAGCTGAGGAATGTAAATAAGGCAATCCATATAACATTTTATATGGAGACAGGCCTGTATCCTTTTGGGGAGCCATCCTGATCCTTAATAAAGCAATGGGAAGACATTTGGTTCATGGTAAACAAGTTTCTAGAATTAATTTAGTCAGATGATTCTTAAGGGTTTGATTTATTCTTTCTACTCATTCGGAGGATAAGGGATGCCAGGGAATATGATATTCCCATTCTATGTCTAGCACTTGGGCCAGATTTTTAATAATATGTGCAGTAAAATGGGTTTCATTGTTTAAGTCAACATCTTCTATTATTTCAAATTTGGGTATAATATGCTCAATCAATGGTTTTACCATATTAAGGCAGTTGCCTTAGGAAAGGCGATGGCTTCTACCCAATGGGTAAGGTGGTTAATTATTACTAGCAGGTGTTGTAGCCAACTAATGGGTGGCATTTTAGTATAAGCGACTTGGACATTTTGGAATGGTCTTAACTCCAGAGTTCTTCCTCCGAGAGATAATTTCCTTAAAGCATGTTTGTCAGTTTTCTTACAGATGAGATAGCCATTTGTGATCTGCCTGTCTAGAGTATAAATGCCAATACGCCTAAAGACTCTGAGAACTGCGTCACATAGGGTCTGGGGATCCCAGTGAGTCCCTTGATGTAAATAGGATAATACTTCCCTCATAAAGGGTTTAGATAGCATCTCTCTTTGATTTGGAAGTATCCAGCTTACTTCTGAATTTTTTTTTTTTTTTTTTTTTTTTTTTTTTGCTTTGGGATTTCAACTAATTTTTCTTTCTCAGCCAAGGAGAAGATAGGAACAACAATAGGAGAAGGAAGGTGGGGAATTACATGAAAAATGGGCATATCTAAGACTGCAGCCTTTTTGGCCATCTGATCTGCAAGCTTATTCCTTTGGCTCTGAAAGGAAAAATCATGTTGATGTCCAGGATGGCTGTCTCCTTTGGTAGCTGGAGGTTATTTAAGACATGAACTACTAATGACTTATGAGCAAGTACTTTGCCCCTACTATTTATAAGACCTTTTTCAGCCTAAATCTTCCCAAATGTGTGTGGGCTGCCCTAAAGGCATACTTAGAATCTGTGTAAATAGTTTCTATCTGATCCTTTAAATATTTCAAGGCCTGACTAAGGGCAAATAATTTACAAGCTTGAGCAGAATAGCTATTGGGTAACTATCCTGATTTAATTTCTTCAAGTGTCTCTCTATCTACTACTGCATATTCACTGTGTTATTCCCCATTAAACACCCAGGGGGACTTGTCTATGAATAGGTGTTGCCCCGATC